TGTAAGAGGCGAATGCTGACAAAAATCGATAACAAAAGGGGATGAGTCATCGCTGCACACGGGCCCTCATGAACGCACACTCGCGCGGGGCGGCTGCCAGTCCACTACACGTGCCTTTCTCGTATAGCTGTCAGGCCATCCCATAAACATGTATCTTTTTTGTTTTGACCAAGTACACAGTCTTGTGAGAAGAAATTAAAACTTTCTGTACAAAATCCTGCCTTTTATTTGGAATGAGGGGTTCAGGAATTACCTTTGACAAGGGACTTGTAAGCTGATTGCGTGTTATTGCCTACATGCTAATCGCAACCTAGATTCACCCAAAAGAACATGATGACTTGAAGTTACTACAATTAAAGATTTTGAATTATGAAGTGTCAAATTCGATTAGTTTTTGTAGCGATTTATAGCAGATTAATGTGGAGTTATGCATGAGGACTTAAAAATAGGGCAAGTAATAATAAATCATGCAATGTGTAATCAGGCCGATTTGCACTTGTGCCTCAAAAAGTGACAGCTTTTTGGCATTTATAATCGATCACTATCTTTGAATAAAATACATAATGCTTTAGATACAATAAAGGTCTGCAAATATAAAAGTAGAATTTCAGAGACTTTCAGACTCAAAGAATCTACAAATGCACGATCTTTTTGTCTATGAATTATTGTTTCTGGTGGCTTGCCTTCCTTAATATATGTAATTGCACAATATGGCATGTTATATAAAACGCAGATCACATAGACTCATTTGCCATTGATGTGGCAGTATAGTAATGCTGCAATTTTTGTACCCATTTGCAAAGCGGCCTAGATATAACAAAACTTGATTTACTTTGAAATTTTTAGTAAAATGATCAATTTTATAGTGTGGCGTACAGATTAAGATTTATACTTAAGATTTAATAATAAAATATACAATAAATTTAAACATCGGAAATAGCGTTTTTGCCACATTGTCTGCTGTAATTTATGTTATATTTGAACCCGATTTTAATTAGGCCAATGCATGCTCCAGAAGGTTTTTCCTTCTCGTGTTCGGGTCAGGTTGTCTTACGTTGAATCGGATATTTTTTTATTTTTTTTGATGTGAGTCAATGGGTACGTGCGTGTTTGCACAGATTTTTAAGCGCAGCAAGAGGGAACTGTTAAAACGAAAAAAAAATTCCTGTAAATATATAGAATATTCGCTGCCCCTGTATTGCATTTAAAGCCCAGGTCACGGTTATCAATACACATAGAAATTGTCAGTAATGGCTAAACAGTTATTTAAATGTACAACACCTGTTTGTCCTATATGACAAGTCTCTAAAATTACAATACAAAAGTTTCTGCGTTGAGAGAAATCAAGTAATGCCTACATTTCCTTTTTAAATTTTAGCACATTTTACCAGACATAATTATGTTAAAATACTATATTTATAAATAGTATTAAGCAGTGCAATTATTAAAGTACTTTTGAAAAATTCCTATCGCATCGTTATAGATAATAACCCGAAGCCCGGCAAAATTAAATTGGTATGTAAAAAGTGAGCTAAATGTTTTGTGAAAATGATTCAAGATCTAAGGTGTTATCAGCAAATCACAGCTTTAGCTAAATGAAACCTTTTAAAGTTAAGGATATCATGTACTGATTTTTTGTAGCATTACTATGTGAATTAATGGCAAAAATAGTTGTGCACTCATGGCTATATCACCAAACAAATTTGATTTTCTTGTAACTGCAGGTGCCAAGCGCTCTTCTGTGGGTTAGTTAGTTGCAGTTTTGTTGTAGTATGTGTTAGCATTTGGTAATAGTTATATGAATGGTGGTGGACCATTTTTCTCTGTATGAACTTCCTTTGTAGTGGGTCTAATATTCATTGTGTTGACTCGATTTTAAGTTACAAATGCTTCGATCTGTCGAAACTTGTTTCCGTTTTACACTATTTTGCACAAATCGTATTCAAGCCTTTGTATTCTTAGATAAATTTCCTTAGCTATCTATAATTAATAACATTTTGTGACCATGGCCCTTCGCTTTGTAATCCACTTGTCGTCTATTATATACACTTTTAAACTGTAAATATTATTAATAAGCTGTAAAATCGTCATTAAATAGGTATGATCTGGTGGACGCGTTTCGTGTACGCAGTTGCTCATGGCCCTTCGAAGATGAACTTACTTACTCTGGTGCAGCAACAACGTCAGCGCTTCGTGGGGACAATTTCTCATTCTATTCGGGCTACAAATAACCCAAAGCTTATGAAAAAACCTCTGAAAGGTCGTTTCCAGGCGATAACACTGACGGACAGTGCACTTCAGCGAGCTAAAGAGCTTCTTAATCAGGAGCCAAAGGCGATTGGCCTTCGTATTGGTGTTCGAACACGTGGGTGCAACGGCCTCTCTTATACCCTTGCATTTTGTACTGAAAAAGAAAAGGGAGATGAGGTAGTGGAGCAGGATGGCGTCAAAATATTTATCGACAGGAAAGCACAACTAACACTCCTTGGGTCAGAAATGCACTTCCAAAAAACTTTGATTTCAAGCGAATTTATTTTTAACAATCCAAATGTGAGAGGAACTTGTGGATGCGGCGAGAGTTTCTCAGTATGACTGTACAGTTTCTTTCTTCTTTGCTTCCCCAACATACTTTGCTCTTGTGTACAGTGCTACAAAACCGTACATAGTAACACTTTTTTTCGTGTCGGGGTTACTAAGTGGCAATAGTTCTAGAATATGTCGAAATCATGCACCCTCTGTCTATTTTTCACTTTCAGGTGTAATCAATCGGATTCGCACACATAGAAGTCCTTAGATGGAGTTGCCTATTATTTGTTTTTCAGTTTGCATCATATAATGCCACGAAGATATTTTTTTTAATACCCGCTTCTTTTAACCATACATTGTTATTATGTACAGCTGTGCCGAAATTAAGCAAGAATAAAGAGAACCTCTGTACGAAATATCACCTGTGACCCATCATAATGTGAGCTGCTTTGCAAACGCCACCAAGCTCCTCAGGCAGCACCCCACTTTTGTCCTCTTGGGAGGAAGATGAACGATCACCTTACGCTCTTAATGATTTACGCGCTGACTGACAAAACCGTTCTCCATTCCACGGCAAGCTTTGTGGAAAGGATTTTGATGTTAGTACAGGATAAGCATAGCTAGTTAGTTTTTTTCTGAAGACATGAAGTACTGTGCACTCGCATAGCTAAATGATAAGTTAAAAATATTTATTAGAAAAAAGCTGCAGGGGATATAAAACAGGAACAGGGATTTCCGGAGTAACACAGGGTTTATTTTTTTTTGCATTGAAATAAAAGCAAAAATTACAAACTTTTCTTTAAATTGATTACAAAACGAGAAAGTAAAGTAATCTGTACAACAAGATACAATTTACGTGGGAATCGTCGCAATTTAGGGAGCAAGTACATCAACGGCTACACCGGCTGGACAGGGTCTTGAACAGCGTTGTTTCAGATCCTCGTAGGTGCCGCCGTTAAGGAAGCAGATGATAACAACCGTCATATTGTCACAACCAATTCCGTTCGGGTTGCAGTTGGGAGCCAAGCAGTGCATCATTAATTCTTCGCAAATCTTAAGTAGAAAACAAGAGAGCTATTATTTTGGATTTATGAGCCTAGAAGAAATACAACCGCAAAGGAATATATGCTTATTTAGAGAGAGAAGTAGACCTAGTCCCATGTAAAAAGCGCAGATGTACTTTTGATGTCGATAGTTTTAAGAACTCTAATTTCACTTTCGACTTGGGAAGTAAAATCAGTCAAAATAGACAGATAACCCTTAATTCTCCCCCACTCCCCAATAAGGACAAAGTGCTAACTCACCGAGTCGGGAGGATAGCCACTTGCAAGCCGGCTGCGAACATAACTTACTACCTCTTGGTTAGTCATTACATCCCAAATCCCGTCACAACCAATAACAATGAATTCATCCGACTCGGTCGTTTTCAGTTCACAATGGGTTACATCAGGCTCCGCGGAGACTATTTGTTCTTCAGGGGAAAGTAGAGCGTTGCGTTTGTAAGTAAAGTCTCCCAGGGCCCGAGAGAGCGCCAGGTTACCATTCACCCGATTAGCAGCCACCCACCCCCCGGCGGCCAAGATTCGGTTCCACTCGGACGCTATGGTGGGTTTATGGTCTACGGACAGCGCCTCAGCCACACCCAGACGACTGAGAACGGCGCGACTATCCCCGCAGTTAGCACAGTAGGCCCGATTGCCACGGAGCATCAGTGCGATGCAGGTGGAACCACCAACGTCCATGGCTGGTCCGGTGGGAGCAAGAAGTTTTCCTTCTTCTAGGCCGCTGGAGTTAAAAGCTGTCTTTTTTGCGGCTGATTGTGGATGAACTGACCCGGTAAATATGGTTTGCATCTCGGCGTCAAGCTTTAAGATCCCCAGACGCATTGCTTCTGCTATGTCCCCTTGAGCTTGAAAAAAAGAGTGAATTGGATGATGAAAATCTGGAAAATGATAGTGAGGTGTAAAGGTTTCTACACTTACCATAAGCAGGTTGGGACGTGATTTTTGTGTGAAGATTATTTGCAGCATACTCGGAAACCTTCGTTCCCCCGTGACCGTCAAAAACAGCAAAATAGGCGGTAGGAGGGAAAGGCGAACCATTACTGGATAGATTAAGAAAACACGCATACGAGTCTTCCATTCGCACGCGCCAGCCCTGCATACTCGACGCTGCCACGGAAAACTGTGAATTCTGCCATAGCTTCGTGTCTTTGAGGGTCACTGGACCAGATATAAGTTGCCCCATTGTCTGGGTTGACTGAAATCGTCAGGGGTGTGATTGCGATGGAAAATGAGTTTGTAAATCAGAAAGGATGGCAACAGTGTCAAATGAGGGCCATAATAAACAGATTGCCATAAAATAACAATTGCGGGAAATCATCGGCGACCAAAGTTGTGCTAATTAACTCACCACAACGTTTATGGGAAGCCGTATTTCTTCATACCAATTGCTTCAGCTGATCCATATTCTGTCATGAATCGTGCTTGGCCTACGAGCCCATAGTTTGAAATATGTGGAGATAAAAGTAAATGGCGTGGTTATTTCGTACTCTACACAATAATGAAGTATCATCGCCTAAGGCGTTCTGCATTTATGTGATTTCTGATTGACAAGCTCCGTTCAAGAATTTCATCATTCCCCACGGCAATAATCAATCCAATCATGCAATAGCACACATGACTCCGCCCTAGTTTTCATGGGTTCCCAAACACACGGTTAATCACTTCTATTTGAATGTGCTTTATAGACATGCCCACTCACACCAATATGACACAAACGGTTAGAAAGCGAGTAAATAGTCATGCATCTTACTTGATTTCCAATGCTGTATTGTTTTTGGGTTCTATAGTTGTGGTAGCGATTCTACGGTTTACAAAGTACAAATTACTTTAAGTATGTAGTTAAGGGATTTTATGAATATAACGAAAACAAAGTAGAATGTGATAAGAGGTCAAAAAGAGGATCTAGAAAGAGCAGCATTAGCTGTCATACGTTGTTATGAGACGAAAGTTTCCTTCTTATATTCTATGGAGACTGACAGACGCAAGAAAAAAACAACTAGTTTGGTTACTTGTGTTTGTTTCAAACCTCAATTTGTGCGAAGAATAGTGCGTACAAAATAGACTTGACATGAATATAACAAATATGGGAACAACTTCAGTCTAGCACGCAACAAATGAGGCCTCAAAAGGAATATACTGCGCAAAATTTAATTTTTACGATGAAAGTGAAGCATAGTTCAATTTGCAAATACGTCTTTCGTAATTAATTAACAAGTAGCTTTAACCTTGACTTAAAATCTGATTTAAAAACTAACGATATGGTAATATTCACATACACTTAACTAAAGGCTGTTGAATTATGTCAAACACATAGCCACCGGTGGCAAAAATTATGAGCCTTTTAAAAGTGCGCAACAAAAAGAGTAAATTCAAACTGGTCTCCATTAAAAACTTTAATAACCTTCAGATCTTAGACTCGATTCAAACGTGGTGCTCCCATTTACTGCTTTTTTCCCGTTGACGTAGGCTTTTCAGATAACTAAAAGGCTATAAATTAAGCCACAAATGTTTCGATGATTATGCTTGAACCGAAAACGTCTTGCAAGATTTTTACTTAAAACATTGTATTATACTATAAAAGAGGATATAAGAGTTCCCTGGATTTCGTATCGGTTACTTAGAAATATGATATGTGGCGTTTGAACTATAGTGTAAAGAAGCACTGCGTACCTTTATGTCAATAAATTTACGTTGATTAATGACACTTAATTCCTCTGTATTTAAGCTCCAGACAAAGAGTGCAGGGTCAAAGCATGTCTTTTTGGATTTTATGTAGGCTTGATTGTGCAAATCAACTTAACTAATTACTGCTTTCTTAGGCAAATCAGTGCGGGCTTCACAATCTGCCTCCATATTTAGCGGCTAAATGTCACTGCTGAAGTTATCGGCACCGCTTAAGTGTCAATCCTTCTGACATATTTAAAATTATGGCTTTTGTACAAGATCTCACTTTTAAGACTATTATATTTGCTGATCTGGTAATTGTTGAAAGCTTAGCACACTGGAAACAGAAAGTGGGAAAAGAGTGCAATATTGGCAATGAACAGATATTAGACTGAGAATTTCAAGTTGAGGAAACAATGTTATGACTTGTACATGGCGGGACAGTTGTCATTGTTACAAGTGTTGTTCGTGGTGGAGCTTAATAAACGTGGCATTGTCTACTCAACGATTATCCATTAGTTCTATTGAAGACTAGCTGTATCTGAGCTGTGTGGACCTAGATAGGTTTGATCTGTTTTGATGTCGATGTTAAGCTCTAGGTATCAGTAATTAGTATAAAGAGAGGCTTTTTGATAAGGCAAAATGACTTTATAAGAAATATGTGTTTAGTGTTCTACCAAATAGACATCTAATAGTAAATATAACAGATATGGTTTGTGGTAGCATATTTCATAGACTTGTTGATATATGACACACATAAAAAGACCCATGTGAGGTTTGCTAATGTCTTCGAGCTTTAAAAATTTTTCATTGGTCCCTGAATTTCGCTTTCCTTTGGTGACAATAATAATTCATAAGTTTTGTCTTAATATTTTTAACATTTTAGAATGCTTAGATATGCACATGATATATGTCTTGACCAACTTTAAGATTGATTCACATTGAGTGTGAAGTCATTCTCTAAAGAAGGCAGACAGTATGAATTGAAAAGTTACAATAAATCGAAAAAACATAAATCTCAATTTTGCGAAAACCAAAGTCATAGACAATGAGCTCTCTCATAAGCTGAAAGCAAAGGTTGTACTGACTCTACAATGAGCAGTCACTTTATTGAGAATTTCGAGGACAAAATAGGAGAAGAGAAGAAGCGGAATAAGAAAATTCTATTTCTGTTTCGGCAAGCGTGACTGTTCTCCTGCGAAATAGTTTATTTGGACTTACAATGCGCGTAAATCAGAAGGCCAACAAATATCAGTTGAATATAATAAGCGAAAGAGATATTTGAAAGTCCTGTACGGAGTCTTGCAGCTACCACTGACAGCAAAACTGGCATGTAGCGTTTCATGAAAAAGTTATTCTGTATTTGGTAATATTTTCCCGCTTTTTATTTCTGAAACATTTGTAAGTTAGTTAATATATTCATGAATTTATGCGGAAATAATAACAGAGATGTTCCAACTATAGTTAATGTGCTATTTAAGGCACTACATGAACATAAATATTGTTTCATGTTGCTCTTTTACTATCTAACTGAGATAATTAAACAAATTTACAATTTCCCCCATCTAACAGATTGTAGAAAATGGACTTTGAAGGTTAGTGTTGGTGTCACTGGTTTGTCTGCGATGCCGTTGGTATTCTCAGTAAATTTTACCTCAACATTTCTACCCCCACTCTAGTTGCCATATTTGACCCTAGGTCAAAGTCTAGTGATTCACCCACACTCTTAATTTGCTCCGTTCCTAGGCTTTCTGTTAAACAACCTGGCAAATCGCACATGCAGTCGTTAGGGTCACCAAAACAGGTGCTTCGGCTATCACTTCTCCCTGCTTTGTTCTCGAGCGCTGCGGCCGAAAAATTAGCAGAGTTGTAAGGTAGTACGGCACCACAAGGACAGTACTAGGTTAGTTTAAATTAGATATTAATAGGTGGGTGATAATGTGACATGGACTTGACCTCTAATTTTCTATTCGTCCTGCATATGTGCGATAGAAATATGAACAAATGGAAGATTTAAGGTAATATTGGGTGTGATCATGCGCGAAAAGCTTTTGTAAGTGTACAGTTTCAGACTTAAATTAGCCTTTCGCATTTCATCATGTAGATGGAGCTCTCTGTTCATTGGGGATTCAGTGTCTTCGAGACCAACGTTGTCAAGATTTACATTTTCACTATCACCTGCAGTTTGTGTACACCAAATTTCGTCTTCATATTCCCCGCCTTCTTCCTATTGGCCCATTCTCTTTGAAGCGTAGTATTTCTTGTACCCACACCCAAGGCCACCCACGCCAGGTATAAGTGGGCGCATGTGCACGTGAACTCAGTCTTTGGATAAGGCAATAAAAGCCCTCTGCACAGGGTCTTTGTGTTATCGTGGGAAGGCGCTAACTCAAACTCATTTGCGTTTCGGGAACCGTACCACCGTTTTAGGGACTGCAGTTTGGGAGGCTAACCAAAGCAGTTCAAACGTTTCTAAGGCATGCATTCGGACTGTATGGACATGAAAATGACAGTAGTTTACCATCGCCTCTTTTGACATCATTTCTAAATAGTGGTGAGTAGGATGAGTAAGGTGCTGGCTATGATGACTGCCTTGGACATGTCGTGGAATCGAGACGACTGTACTTCGTACTTCACCATGTCATTCGTTGTATCCCACGGTGCTGTTTTACTGGCTTCGATAATTCTTGCGTGGACGAATCATGCAAAGTGCTTGGCTTAACAGTGCCAGGACACCGCAGGTAGAATGCACTTAGATCTTCTTAGGTGGTTCGAACTGCCGTGTCGTGGGTAGGACGGTGACTGTCCGGAGGTGGGCAGATCAGATTTCGAGGACCAGAGACTTAAGTAGCCGACTATAATGTTATGACAGTAAACCACTAATGGGGAATCATGATACTACCGAATTAAGTGTCAGAAGGGTTTAAAATTTGAGAGATTTAGTGACCCACCCGGTGTCAGCAAAAGTTTGGGCTTGAAAACTACCAAGGTAATGTTGATGCATCGATCGTCAATTATAGATTTTTAACTGAATTCTTTCAATTCCTGATTGGTGACTACTAGGTATTCGTTTCGTCGTATTCGTTTCCTACCTATATAAGACACGGGCAGCATTTGTTGAACAAGGCCGAGTGCTCCACAAATGTTTATCTGAGAATTATAACTGTCTCTGAATTATGTTACAGTACACGCTCAGCTAGCTACCTCAGGTTTGCGACGTGGGAGTCGGATCTTCCTTGTTCTTCGAACTATTGTACTCCTTTATGCTAATTGCTATGCATTCAGTCGACGGTGTCTTGCTTGCAACGGTTTAGTATGATGCTAGACCACTGGCGTCTTTGCAGCTTGCCTAATTGGCCTAATCCCTGCCTCTATCTCGCCAGCATTGGCAAGTCATTACGTGCCCCAGGAAACCTATAATTCTGCCAGAGAAAAGGAATGCGACAAATCTCATGAGGGTGATCAGTATAAATGCAAAATTAATGCGAAGCAACACAATAATGGGCACTATTAATAGTG